TATCCTGGCTTCGGCTGGGCGTGAATTAACCCTTTGGGTGTCCTCCGCTCTTTGCACTAGTGGCTTCCTAGATTCGAGCGAGGGCATTTGTGTAGCTGAGATGTGTGTCTACGTGACAGAATAAGTAGAGAGAGACGCACTGGCATTCGCATTTGGCGGATTGCGCATTTTTCGAATTTTGGCCCCCTTCCAGGGACCTTGATTTTTACTCGCTGGCACTGACGTCTTTTCATTGGTCAGCCGGCTAGCGCGGTCGATTCTAATAATTAAAAAAAAAAAACACACACACAACACACAAAAGCATTGGTAGACACGTGCAGCTCTCCTCTGTTGCTACCGTTTCTGTCGTTCATCCGGAGAATAGCTTAGCCTCCCCCATTCCGCCCCCTCACGGGTTCCCAGTTAATCATGGCATTTAGAAGTGTTTTGTGTTATCAACCGCACTGAGACCAACGTCTTTTCATCCGGTTAGCGCGGTCAACGCTAACAAGAAAAACACCCACACAGAGCCATGGAGACACCTGCAGGTCTTCCACTGTTGCTAGCACACCGTTTCTGCCTTTACTCCGAAGAAAAGCTTACCGTTTTTGACACAAGATAACACACCCCCTAGACCAATTTTCAACGCTCGATTACTCCAAGACGAAGAGGATGCGTGAACGAAACAATACATTTTTGGAAAGCTCTCCACGGGAAGGTTCCAACGCCGCCGTTTTCGGCGCCGTGACTCTTTATGTTGTTGAGATATCGAGATTTGAAAAATCGATCCAGGGGGAGTGTCATCTTGTGTCATTTATGGTAGCCTCCTGCATGCCGCCCCCTCACAGCAGCCCAGTTAATGGCATTTACCTGGTGCAAATGTTTCGCGATTCAACCGCGCTGAGACCGACTTCTAACCATTTGTCAGCCGGTAAGCGCGGTCGATGCTAATCATAAAAAAACACACACACGGCGACACTAATATAGTAGCTCTTCACACAGAGATTCCGTGAAATGAGCATTACCAACTAGGCCTGTCCTCCATCGGCCGTTTTGCTTGTATGACGGAGAATAAGAAGGTGGAATTACTTGAAATTAGTATAGAAATAAAGTTTGTGTATCTAAATCGAAAATAGAACGGCCGATGGAGGACAGGCCTAATTACCAAAGCGTCAGGCTTCGGGCGGAATCGACCCATTGGACAAATCATGTGACACATGCTTCATGCTCGTTTAAGGAGAACGAAAATGATCATGAACGACACCACAGAAGAAATTGCCGCCCCACGATCAGCAGAGCTCTGTGGATGTATACAGCAAGTAGGTAGAATATACCTAAAAAAACAAACGACCGATCAAGTGAAGGGCGATGTAGTTGGAAGAGAGGGGCAGGCTCGATGGGACTTTCCAACAAGCACCGCCCGGTTCTTTCCTATCTCAAAAGATCGCAAAGTCACCGAATGTTCGTTCTCGCCAAAATCCCGATTGAGTTCCCCGCCCAAGAGATAATTCGACCCGCCATCAGGCAGGCAGGCAGGCTGCGATGCCGTTTTCGGAACTCCAAAGACTTGGAAGAGTCGGGGGGATGTACCTACAGTACATGGTATCTACACGCCCACGTTTTTTCCTTTGAAAGCTCTGGGGGCCGGACATAGATTCGCTCGTACACGTACGATAGGAGATTTAACGTTATGCATGGGAGGAAATAAGGTGCTGTCTGGCTCGATACACGAGCGCGCCTGCGCGTAGCTGGACGCGTGTTTGACGACGTGACAGCTGTAAGTCGCTCACTGGCGTGCCCCTGCCGGACAGACGTTCAAGGTTGTGCGACTGCTGCGGTGTTGTCAAAAACAGACCTGAAAACAGCTGCAAAAAACATTTCGGAATGTGCATGCGCAGAAAATTACAGCAGTAGCTGGCAGCATACCCACTGCCATGGAATTCAACCCGTCCGAGACTACTACATTGTACTAGGTACGGCGGAAGGCGCAGCAAAGGCGAGGGCGGGTGGGAAACATCTACGTGCCCGAGAAAATATCGAGGGATTTTTCCGGCAACTTGAGCCCGACACGCACAGGCACAACAAGAGCGCGAACATCAGTGCAAGGTATAAACTAACCTATTGATGGCAATGAATGGCTGCGAGGTCGGCCTGGTCCGCACCTATACACCCACACGCGCGCATGATCAAGCCTCGTTCCCCAAACTATTCTGGCTCTGGCAGTTTATGTTATTCTATATTTTCCGTTTTTGCTTGTGTGGGTGGCAGCAGCACCTTTCCTTCCGGCGTTTGTATGCATACGAATATGTGTGTACGCCGCGGCGATACGAAGAGCTCTCCTGCAAGAACCTGCATGGGTGTTGGAAGGGCAGCACGACGGGGTACTTACTCCCTCTTCGGTCGCATGCTGCAACTCGTCTTTGAATACAGACCACCAGCAGGGAAGAGAGAAATAAATGCATGATATTCTCGAACTCATCTTCATATATGTTTTTTTCATGTTGAAGCGCGCAAGAGGCGTGCGAGCGATCTCCGCGTTGGAGAGATCAGCTTCATTGCCACCAACCCCGACGAACATGAACATTTGGCCTTCCGCTTGGCTATGTGCGGTTAATCCATACGCACTCACGCACGCACGCAAGCACGGACGCCAACGCTCAAGGAAAATGGTGCGCTTTGCAGCTGCTGACGTTTTCTTCAAGATTTTTTTTTTCTCTTCATGATACTTCTATGCTTGTATGATACAAACCGATTTTGATTGTGTGCTATGCACAGCAGTACACTGGTAATTTCTAAAGCAATACCCGCCGGCCCTCCCCGAGATATGTCGTTTTTAGAGTAGAACAACCCCGTCGGCGCCACTTTTCGTGCTTGTGCAACAGCGGGGAGAGCGAGAGGTTGCCGATTCACCGCCCACTGGGCGACCAGCAGCTACATTTATGCACGTAATGGTAATCGCGAGACAGCGGCAGGGTGCTCTCGGACGACAGCACGTTCACGCGTTCCTCGGCTCTTTCGATGCCGGCTGGCTGAACCGCTGCAGCCCGCGCTTGGGGAGGCAGCAACGCAGAGCATCGTCTTGTAGATAGCACACGAACACACACGGTGATGATTGTCGGGCCCTCGCCACCTGGTCGCTCGCTCTACCCTGGAGACCATGCACAGACTTTAACAATCGAGGAGGAGACTGGAGAAGGGGGAAACCGGAAGAAAACAAGCGTGCGTCTCCGACCCGGTACCGAACTCAGCACGACGTTTACAAAATCTCACGCACCCAATGGGGAAGGCTCCCTCCCGGTCACAACCGCAACGGAGACCTACTGCTGCGGACTCCCACCTTGTAATGGGTCCGCTCCTCTTCTTGTAACCTCTCCAGCTGCTCGTCCACCTCGTTCTTAGCCGCATTCGACACCACCATCGGCTGCGACGACTCGCACCCCATGGTTGGTGAAGACGCGCACAAAGCTCCCTCTGTCTCCGCCTCTGTCTCTGCCTCTCTCTCGCTCTCTCTCTCTATCTCTCTTTCGCGCGCGCGGCTGTGGCGGAGGGGGCTCGGGGAGCAGCAGCAGCTGGAGTAGTGGTGCGACGCCCGCCTTTTTCTGTCAATGAAAATGAATGTGTGGTGGCTTGCCGAGAAAAAAAAAAATGTCTTGCCGTTGCTTGCCGTGAAAAATGGAATAGGCGTATTATTTCGTGACGAAAAGACTAAATATAATGGCCGACCTCAACCCACGTGTGGTAGGTACTTTTTGCGTGCGTGCATGTGGGTCTCTTGAAGGTGTGTTCCGTGATCAGCTTTCATAGCTCTCGTTCGGGTAGTGCCCCAGCGGCGCTTGAGTGATCATTTTCACGTTGCATAATAGTTCGGCGCATGAATGCATACACACATGCATAAAATACTGAATAAAAGCTACATGCACATGATAAGCAGAAAGACGTGGCGTCACCCTTTGCGTGAGTCGCGCGTGATGAATACATACATGCATACGTAGATATGTGGTCGAACGACGCGGTTGTTAGAGGAATTGAAACTATTCGATGTATGGAGGGGGCGCGGGAGGGCGATGGGTGGGTACAACAGGCCACTTCAAAAGTTAGTGCCCAAACTTTCCGAAATCCAAGATCTTGGACCCCGTAACCAGCTGCCTGCAACTCGCACCTGTCTCCAGAGGAACGACAGTAACCTCCTGGCGCTGGTACAGCAGTATACTGGTATGCCTATATCCAAACAAATAATGCTGGTGTCGTCGGGTGATGATTTTGTGGACAGTTCCATGTGCGTCGCGAGCGTTATCGTTGGTCCTGTGTCTCGAGCCAACAGCAGTATCTAGTCAATCAAGGTCTGCCTCACATGACAGCATCGACCTGGAGACGGGACCGATGGGCTTGATGCATCGGGATCTTTGCTAAACGGACTTGGTTTTGTAATTGTTTCGGTGGGAAATATAAAAATCGCCCCGCTCCAAGGAGCGCCGACGTGCCGACCCGCTCGTCCCGGTGAAAAACCCCTCTTTGTGCACAGCACGGCTCAATGCTTTGCAATAGCGATGTCACGCTACACCTAAGCTGCCATAGGATACACCGTGGTGCCGACGGCCGAGCCGAATTTCCTCCGCTGTTGTTCCCGTGTTTGTTTCGAGATTTGAAGAAACCTACTTTTCTCTCGGAGAAATCTATTTCTCGACGGCTGCGCCGGCTGGATGCTGTGAGGAACACATTTATCATCTTCCAGGCGACTCGAGAAACCCAGAGGGCTGTCTAGCCAACGCTCACGATTAGCGTGCAACGAGAGAGACAGGTGAGACGTTAACACACATTTTGTTGAGTTGTCCGCTCCTGTGCCGAAAGGCGCTGGGAAAGTGGTATTGTCTTTCGTCGTTGGTGGTTCCCTTTCATGAACGCTCCAACCGCGCCAACCGGATGGTCGATGAAAAGCATCAGTCTCAAGTCGCTGACAACACGATATGCTTGGAAATGTCATGATCTGGGACTCCGTGAGGGAGTGCCACAGCGGAGGCGAAGCTACTCTCCGATATGAAGACGGGTTGCATTGTGTGCTGTTGCATCGATCGCGCGGACCGGCTGACCAATGAAAAGATGGCAGCCTAGCAGGATGGAAAACGCCAGCACGCTTTCTAATCAAAGTGTTAAGGGATCAACATACGGGGTGGGGGGCAGCAGTCGAATGGCAATGTCCTACTCCTGAAGAAACGGAAATAGCAAACACGACCGAGCAGTGATATCGTTTATATATGTGTGTGCGTTCCATGTGTTGTGGCGCCAGTCTCGTCTGTGCCCGTCCAAAACGTTTTGGGATATCCGGTGGACGACGAGCAGGGCGACGGCAGGAGCGCAGCGAGAGACCTAATGCCCCTGCGCCAATTTCGGTTGGACAAGAGCAGTGAAGCATAAGCAGCCTCGCGCAATTCAAAAAGCTGCCGCCGGCGAGTCCACACCCTGACTCTCTGGGGAACGCAGCGTCAAGTACATTGGTGCAGAAGCCTCCGGAGAGGTAGAACGCACTGTACGTGTGTGTATGAAAGGCAACACTCGATACCGTGGGGTGCATGGGCAACCGCTCGGAGGTCATCCCATGAACCACGTTCATGCCAGGGGGCGCGTGCATCCCGGGGATCCTCCACACGGCAAGCACCAGTGCCACCGCAAAAAAAACTCCAGGAATGGTTTCAAGATTTGGATTCGATCAAAGGACAGAAGAGCTGGTGGCCCTTAAATGATGAAACGAACAAGCGCCGCGGGCAATCGAACCACCGATGTTGACTTAGTAGTCTCCTCCACCCTCATCTGCGAAGGTGCAAGCAGGACCGGACAAAGTCGACGCGAAACAACCGCCAGTAAACAAGCAGCAACGCACGCGTGGGAACGGGAGGCAAAATGGGGTGGAGAGAAAAAAATAAGGGACAAAAACCCTCGGAATGGCCTTGCGATATACATCAAACAAACGCCGCGGATGGAAGGAACAAGGACAAGTCGCCATCAAAACACGAGCACGCCCACAGTCGAGCAACGAGCGAAGCTTGCGGACAACGCAGCACAACACGGCGCAAAAACTGGCATTCGACATCACGGGCAAATGGGAACCCTTGAGTCCAAGGGGTGGTGCTTTCACACCTTCGCACAACATATTTTCGAGCGTGCCCGGGTTCCCGCGGCCAGCTTTTCCCGCTGCGCTCGCAAGGGTTCCAAGCGACTCTCTCGCGCGCAAACGACTGGTCGGTGCTGCTGTTGCTACAGGTGAAGGGGTATCGGCGTAACACCATCGCCTTGACCCCCCTCCCAGTAACACGGAACCTCAAAAACAATGTGTTGACACTTACGTCTATTAGAAGGAAGGGACGCAAAATCGGAAGCCGACTTACCGCCGCCGCCGAACATGTCCATGCCCCCGCCCATGTCGATCTCCTCCTCCTCCTCCTCCTCCTTCTTCTCCTCGGCCGCCGGGGCCTCGCCGGCGTCGCCGGCGCCGGCGCCGCCACCACCACCGCCGCCCCCGCCGCTGCCGGAGCTAGCAGCAAGGATGAGCTTCTCGATGCCAGCCTTAGCCAGGAAGCCCGAGAAGAGAGTGGGCCAGTAGCCCTCCACCTCGTTGCCGGTGGCCTTGATCAATGCGCTGAGCTGGTCGCTGGTGATCTCGGCCTGGGCGTTGGTTTGTCATTTGCGTTGACCGCGAGCGTACGTACCGGCAGGGAACGGGACATTACACGGCGGGGTTACTTACGATGGACGAACGAAGAATGACTGAAATTTCGTGCTTCGAGAAGCTTCGATTATTGGTGGAATGGCACCCTTGAGATTCGTCGAATGGGAAACCGGAACATGTCTCGGTGTACACTATTATCGCCACGGGCATGTACATAATCATGGCTTGCGTGAATCGAGCTGCAAGCGGAAAAACTGCATTTTGAAACTGGCGCTATCGACGCGCGAATGATTTGGCTACGTACACGTTGATGCCAAATGCTGTGGCAAGTTGTTGCCTTCGCGTTAGAAATGACCCAGCTGAACCGGCAGGCCCGCTTGTGCAATCTACCTTTTGGTAAGACAACAAATACACCTTCAACGTGGCCAAACACCGGTGACCCGGAAAACAGAATCAGGTACGAACAGGAGTAGCGAAGCCCAGGCAGACCCCCCCAGCCATGAGCTAAATTTTTTGGGGACAATGGATGATCTAGGCCGAATAAAACGAATATAGGCCTGCACGGAGGGAAAAGCTCATGACCCTTTGGTGTCTTCGAATCGCTGTCGGCGACATCCCATGCGTTATGTGTGTGGTCTACATGACAGAGTTTTGAGTACAATTGGAAAGCTCGGGCTCAACGAGTGTTGTAGGCGTCACACTTTCGTGCGACAGGTGCTGCATGGGTTCACGGAGAGTAGCAGCATTCTGAAGTAGGTATCATGTGTGTCGGGATGGGGGAATGCGCACACAACGCGTCTTGTCTGTTCCTTGGAAACATAAAACATCCGAGCGACAGGTACCGCTGTAGACAAAAACATTTCAGGAGGAACAACATCATCCCCGGAAATACTAGTGTAGACTTGACTCTCCTGTGAAGTGTATACACACACAAGTAGCCCACAATACGATTTGTCATGCCCTCGACTACAAGGAGGGTGCCTGGTAATGCCCCTTCGTAAGGTCGGTGCTGAAGCAGTACCGGCAGGGTTATCGTTGCTTGTAGCAGAGTACGAGTGTAGATACAACAGCAGCACCGCCGTCTGTGTCCAGCACTGCTGTTACTGCTGTTCGACGTATTCCAACAAAACCGTCGACGGCTCTTTGACAGCGACACCCCGAACGTCGCAATGCGTCGACGACGATCGCATCATCGTATCGCGTTCTTGGGTGCGTGTTTTCTCAAGTGCTCGACAACCTCGCCGCCTCCGTGGGATAGTAGGAGTGCTCGCCACCAAGATCGGAGCGCTATGCGTACAACTGATGCAGTTTGAGGTAACAGACGAAGCTTGTTTTGATGGACACAGCGGAGACGTGACAGCTTAGCCACTGCTTCATCACAGGGACATACACATGCTCGATCCCCTATGCTCTATTCGCGATAAGTAGGGCTATTTTCAACCTGCAGTCGTAGTATCCACGCAACACAAGCAACACAAACTCTGACCGGAGCGCCAAGTCTATGTATGGTCAACAGCGAGCCGATTCAAAGATGGAGGATCACTCACATCGCCATCGTAGAGAGCCAGGGCGGCATACGAGGTGCAGAGTTCGTCGTGAAGCTCCTTCGAAATGCTCATGGTGCAAGGGAGTGGGTGGCTCCAGGAATCAATTTAAGCCGAGGCAGAAACCAAGAGTGCCAAAACACACGGCACACCACCACCAACAACCACCGAGAGGAAGAGGCCCTATAGATGGCATCGCATACGCCTATCTTATTTTCGGAGATATTGCAATCACGTCCCCCCCCAAGTGTGCACATGATCATCCATCCCTGAGAACACGAACCGAGCCGCCCGGAGCAGCTGCGCCCACACCCATGCGTGCCTCGTAGGATTCAAAATCATAAGCGAAACTGTTGAGAATCATGTCGACCCAATGCTTTCGGGACGCAAGAAGTTTCGCAACCGGAAACGCATCTGCAGGCGCTTCTAAGAGAGTCACCGCGACTTCAGGAGCGTCCGAGTTGATAAACGACGGCGTCGTCGCTACGTCGTCAGTTATACTCATCGGCTCCTTCTTTTGGGTGGGTGGGTGGGTGGGTGTTGGTCATCTTGTACACGCTTGGGGCACACATTCAAACAGCGCAGCAGTTGTGTGCACAGTAGCCGGTGCAGCTCACATAGCGAGCCGAGTTGACGCTCACTAACTACAACCCTACAACGCACAGCAGTACAGCAGTTGCGCCGCATTTCCGGCTCCAGGGTTTGACGGTTTGACCTTCACGCGCGGCGCGGCTGCCACACCCATGGCACTACTAGCACAGATCCTCTTACAATTCGCACCACTGTCCCCTACGGTACGGCAGGCAAGAATTGTTCACTACCTTGTGTCGTATGAGGTGTACGTTTAGGCGCATGTACGTGGTTGCGCGTCCTCCTGGTGTATACCCCAGGTGCCGGCATATCTCTACCACTTGTGGAGAAACAAGTGCAAGACTCGGCGGCGAAAAGCTCTGTTCCTGGCCTGTCTAGTGGCGTTCCTGGCGGGGCCAATGCCGGTGACTCGAAGAATTACGAGGCTATCGGTGTGGAACAGGTGTATCCAGTACGTTCGTTGATCGTTGGGCACGTTTTGTTTCGCTCTTTTTGTAGTGCGTTCGTTCGTTGGCCAAACGGCTTCTGTGGCTGAAAAGGTTTTTATTCAAGTGAATGAACGGTGGACCATATTGGATATGATGGTTTGTGCCACTGCTGTCCATGGACCCACACCAAATCGGGAGGATCGTCATGTGTTGACACTGCGCTTATTTGTCCGCGTACATGGCAATTTGGTGCATGGCTACTGCAAGACCGTACCGGCTAAATGCAAGTACTTCGCGACGAGCGGGTTTGGGTGAGTTGGCCTTTCAGTCACTGAACGATTCCAAGGAGTCGTTTTAGTCGGCTTAATTGATCCCGTTCTCCCTTCGTGACCCATACACGCGCGCACCCACGCCTTCGACGATGCGATAGGGTCTGGAGATACTTTTCCGGCAGTTTGGTGGGAGAGATGGACGCTTGCAGAGGGAAGCAATCGCTATTTTGTCTCGTCCCTCATGGAGTGTTTCCGTTTGGCGTCGCCCTCGCCTCTCTCGGGAGGTGGGTGGGTGCGGGCGCTGTTGATATGCCATATTTGGGCTCAACGCTACTGTAACCTCTTTTTGCGACAGACTGCATGGGTTAAATTGGCGCCGCTCGATATTCCTGAACAATCCATCTCCTTCCTACCAAGCATATTTTCCCGCCGACAGCACCGCCAATCTGCTGCTCGCCCTGAGGCGCCAGATGTATTCTATGCTTGTGTGCGTCCTCTTAGTTGTCAGTTTTTGGGTTCGAATGAATTCCTTTATGCGCTCATCTTCCATTGTGCGTCATGCTTAACGCCGCCCATCGACGCCTTTGCACCACCATTCCGGTTGTAGCTGCTCCAACAACCACCTAATGCACAACGAATGAACAAACCATCGCAGGGCAAACGAAACCGTCTTCAACGCCGCCAAGCCGGTTTGCGCTTCAATTATGCTGCGGACACCGATCATCGGGAATATTCTCCGCATGATTGGCGCCGTGGGAGCCTCTAGAGACACGATGGACGACGCGCTAAAGCAAGGGCACTCGCTCAGTTTGGTGCGGTTGTCGAACTTGTACGCACGATAAGATATTTTCGATTGATTTTTCGTGTTCAGTTCCTCCCCGCGTCGTTCGCGGACCATACACGTTCTAAAAGCGCAAGGTCTGCATCGAGTAATTACATTGAAGTGCATTGCGTCTGGGAAGGGAAAGTGTTTACGTGTGCACCCCTTCTTTCCCTAAGCGTTCAAATTTTCGTTGCGAACACGCCTTATGTATGCTAGAAAATAGAAATTACGTAGAGATGCACGACAAGGTGCTCCAGCTATTACAGTACAAGTATGATTCTCTCGCCTCCTCCCGACTGGTTCTATCCCAGAGATGCTTCGAAACCCGCTTGAAACCGGGAGATTTTGCCTGCTTTGGCGAAGGTCCCCCCATTTCGTTGGTGCTGACAATATCCCAACAGATATCATAGCTGGTGGATTTTCGTACTCTGGCATGCCTTTGTGTCCCGGAAAAGGCGCCAGGTGGGATCGGCGAGATGTTCTTAGACGGAGAAGCGGGAAAAGAGTTTGCGCTCCTCAGGGGGCACAAGGGATTCGTCCGAAGAGCGATGGCGAATGGAGTGCCTCTAGTCCCTGTTTACGGTAAGGAGGGAGCACTGCTGCGTTGGCCCGTGGAGAAGTTGTTTGGTGGCTTGAAAGAGAGAAAAGGAAAGGCGTGGGTGGAGGCCTAGGGCTTCCTCCGGGTCGACATGCTGGTGTTGCCTTGCAAATGTTGAACAGTTGAGTGTGGAGTGTTCCTTATTTGAGTTTTGTTGCACAACCGCTGTCGGCAACGGCGGACCCGAGCTTCGTGCAACATGCAACAACGTTGCTGTAAATCGAGCCGACCTCGTGATTGTGTTTCTTAGATACACGATACTAGGTGTCGTCTTGGTTCTCGCTGGGCCCTCTATTCTTAAGTGGTATGTTTCCCTCCACGTTGTTCTTCCGTCTTGTTTCGTGCACACGTCCACGCTTGGGGCTCCGGCTGACCTCCACCTTCTTCTTCGACTATGTTTCCCAACACGGGAACAAAACAAAGTTTTTGGCAACTCCCAGACTTTCAAGCGTGTGCCTCTACCGGCTGCCCTAGAGAGCCTTTCGCGACTGCTAAAAGCGTCGCTAGTTCTATTCTGGGGGAGATGGGGCCTGCCAATTCCGTTCAAGGTATGCACTGTTTGATTTTCGTGATCTCTCCACGAAGTAAAGTTTTGCAGCACTGCAACAATTAGTGCGAGGACTATTTGTATCGCATGTAACACTGAAATGCGGGGAAGAAAACATTGTCCGCACCCTTTGTCAACACACACGACGTCTCATACTTGTATAACATTGCAACCACTCGGATCGCTCCCGTATGGCACGTTCAGCTCTCGTTTTCTTCTGTACTCAGCGGTTTGAATATCGATCCGCTTCGTCCTGCTTAGGGTTCAAACGTATATTTTTATTTTTGGCAATGATGTAGAGTTCATGTGTGCTTTGGCTTGAGGAACAAATCATTCTGATCTCTTGCGAATCATTTTTGAGCTCTTGCGTACGCAACGTACCGTTCACATGTACCCTACAAAAACCGTATTTGTCTTTCATCAATTTCTGCCATTCGCGGTCTACCTTCCGTGTCTCTTGTGTGTCGTAGATGCTGAATTTCTCTGCACAAGTGGCACTGCAAGTTTGTTTCCTGACTTTTCCAACTCGTGCGTTTCATCTTCAGGTGCCATTGACATTTGCCTTCGGGGAGACATTGGACATCGAAAAGAACTTGTCGCCGTCAGATGAGCAGGTGGACGCGGTTCATGCTCGTTTCTGTGAAGCCCTGGCGGACGTGTTTGACCGATACAAGGGAGCTTACGGCTGGGGTGATACAAAATTAGAACTTCGATGACACGTGAACTCACCCACACCAATGAGTTGTGTCTCTCTTTGTAATAAGAGTATACGGTGGTTGGGGCGGCACGAAGTCGCAGCTGCTGGTGCAACAATCGTCTGTAGGCTTGTTCGTGGTACGAACAGCTGTAGATATCAATCGCATGTGGCCACGCCCCACCCAGGCAAACACTGAGATGACATTTGTGGACGATAAGCACTTGCAGTTGGGGAAAATTAAACCACAGCGGAAGTAGGTATCCATAGAGGCGAGATGGACACGTGTAATTTTGAGACCCGGAGGTGTTAGAGATGTAGACATCGCGCACTTCGTTTGGAGAATGCGGCCAGCTCACGTTGCACGTGATCTTAGGCTCGTTGTTAAAGCAACGGAAAAGTCGTGCAATTTTCCACGGAACAGTGAAAAGAAACGACTTTTTTTCGCTTGTTTTATTCGTGATGTCATCGCAAAAAGTACATATCCTTCCCTGAATACACGCGTTGCTCGGCACACAACAGGTTGACTTGGTGTTGCTCACCATAGAGTACCGGTAAAAGCGCGATGAGCAGCACCCGACACAGAGCACAAAACACTTAGAAAGATCCTATCCACCCGGCCTGCTGTTTTCAATTATCAGTATCAACAGGCGCAGGGCAGAGTGTCGCGACCTGGGTGTTGCTTGCGATTCTTCAGTTTGCCAGCTTATTTTTCACGGTTGCGACTCCCATCTTGGACCACCACCTGCCCAAAGGTAGACAAGCTCAACAATCATCGGGCGGCAGCCGCGCTGACGGCCAGCATCATATAGATGGCCAATCCGAAAGAAATAGCGTGTCGGAGGCCCTGTTGCTCTTCTGCTGCGTGGTGCCGTGGATTAATGTTGACGTGTCCGACCACAAACAGATCATCTCGCCGCATTTTTTCCAACGGCATTTTGGTGAGGTGGCACACGTCTCTCACACACCTTACTGAGCAGCACCCAAGTACCCAATACCCACGAAGCAGCACGGTGCCGGGAAATGGTATCATATAGACGGTCGAACCGAAGGAATCAGCGCGTTGGAGGTCTTGGTGCTGCTGCTGTACTCGTTCTACTCTGTTTCCGTGTTTGCCATGTATGTGTGACTGAAAATAATTCCTCAGCACCAACAGCAGCAGTTGAAGACTAGAGCACCACGCAATGTCTAGTTTTGGACCAAGAACGAACTGAACGCCGCTTCTGCCGCTTGTCGATCATCTCCGTGACAGACTTAGACGTGAGTCTGGCAGGTCTTTCTAGCGTTCTCAGTGATGTTACAGCGCCCGCCCTGCGCTTGTCCGATGCTTCTGCCAAAATCACGGATCCGTGAAAGTAGCAAGCCCCAAAGAATGCCGGCTCCTTCTTTTCAAGTTTTCGGGGGAAAACGCCTCCATAGTCTATGTGTTCAAGAAGACACGCTTCCGCGAAATGTTCCGTGATTTTATTGTCGTTAATAATACCCCTCAGATTACATCCGGCGGAAACGAGTGACGTTATATCATTTTTATCTCTGCACATTAGCAGAAGCTGGTTTAGGGTCGTACTGCTCGTGCCTCCCCACCTGTTGCTTGGATTTACGGAGGGTTGACATACGTATTGTTACGGTTGGTACGCGTCTAATTTCGCCCCACGAGCATCCTCGCAGTAGGGCTACTGCAGTCCGCGGTGCCCCGCTGAGATGGGTCAGGTTCACCCTATTCAATCACTTCGAAAAGACGCCCTGCTTGTCACACAAAAAAGAAAGACCATAAAAAGAACCAAGGAGGCCTTCGCTCCGATTCTTCACCAGTTCCAGCAGTCGGTACGACCATTTTCACTGCTCATTAGAACTCGGTCACTTACTGCACTAGCGTCGAGAAAACGCTGAGGTATGTGTGTGTTTGTGGGCGGCAAGCCCCTTTCTCTAGCACCCTTTCTGATTGCGCGCCAAATGCTGAAGTCATGTGAATGAACGTAATCTGTCATGACTCCATGAATACACACACAGCAGTGCCTTCACCGTAGTCGCACGATCTGTCTCATGATTTGTCCAAAAGCGATGGCTGGCGCCGAGAATTGTCCGCGTTTCCTGGTGCAAACGAACATGGCGTAACGCCGGGTTTGCCCGTGTCGTCAGTGTCGAGGGAGAAAACGTTCGCGTTCCTTGTTTCATCACATGGTTGCACACGTGCCGTAGAACGACAAGCACATCCGTTATTTCGGATGCGAACAGATCATGAATTGGTCGGCACGTGAAGTGCATACCTCAAGGATACGTGCGCCGTTTTGCTGCTCTCTTCTGCGTGCGAACGTTGTGTCGTCGGTTGCTCCATACCTAACTTCATTCTTTTTTTCTCACAGAGAGAAGGGTAAGCAACTAAGCCAAGGAGGTGAGAGAAGGACGCCTTGGGCGCTACATCGCACGCCGTGCGTAAACATGCCCCCACGTCAGATGTAATGCATGACATCCATCACGTCGTCTACTCGGTATAGTCTCACTCTCAACCGCGTCGCATGATCCAACCCCCTCGAAGGCTAAAATACACTTGAATCCTACTGTATGTCGGCACATTCCTCCTCCAAGGTTCATGAGACTTCCCTTGGCTTCGACTCCTACTGCTGTACGACTGGAGAGTCAGGCGTCGTCGGCACACCAATCGATTCGGACTGACACCCGGCGGCTACAAATACACCGATAGCGTGCCATAGTTCAAACGTGGCACACTTGGTGGAGCACGGTCCTCTTGGTCTTCCTGGTGAACACTTCGAGGACGCCAGCCGTCTCGTCGTCTAACTGGGATACACCGTCAAGCTGAATGAGAAGTGAACACAGTAGCAGCGGGGCATTCATTAAAAAATAGATTAGACGGATGCGTTGACGGGAAGTTGTGGAAGGGGTAAAGCAGAGGGGCAGACTCGACCATCTCGAAATTGTTGCTTTCGGTTGCTTGTCCTCCGCGGTAACGAGAGTTCGAATGACTTGGGCGGTGACCTCTCTTTCTCGACGCATGCTGTGAAATGGAAACCTGGTGTCCTTTGAATGCGAACCAGGAAGGCACAAAACACGGTTAGACACACAACCCATACGCGATCGTGTCGACACACGATGTCGGTGGGTATTGATCGTTGTATTTCTGCATAGGACAAGGGTGGGGGGCCACGGAGGGGGCGCAAGGCGTGCCGCAACCAGCACTACATATATTACAAGTTTCACATCGGGGGGATATAGTTTGGTTCAAACGCATTGAACGACAATCACACCGTGCAACGATGAATCACTCATGTCACTACAACCTCGACATACCCACCCCTTCACCTGCAGTGCCCGCCCATCGCGAGGGATGGGGCACTTGGGGTACAGCAACGGCAGGCACACAAGACAAGATGCAGATGACCTCTCGCTCCACGCTTTTGTGTCGTATGTTTGATACTCCAAAACAAACATGAAGAGGGAGTGAGATTGAATTCGTCTGGTGGGATTTACAGTAGATTTTTACATTTTGCTAGTAGAAAATAACTCGCAAGCTTCCGGATTTTGAAGTCTTGAACGAAAAAATCAACTACATATAGTTGTGACATCAACTCGTGATTCCACACACCAATACATGAACACCACATTGCTTAACTTAACACACCGTACTGCACAGGAAACTTCAGGCATATATTGGCTCTGGCTAGAATACATGTATTTGCGAACAGCGTACAGTAAGAAGACAGGTAGACAAAGTGCCCAACGCATCCTGAGTGTACCTACTAACATTCATTTGACCAGCTACCAACCAATGTTTACCATGCGGCACAGTTCAAGAACGCTGTCGGCGGCCGCGGCTGATTCTTCAAATGAGTCTTTGATGGTCATATTGATCACGTGCAGAGGCTTGAACGTCTCCGGGTCTCGTGATTGTAAGTCTGTCACGCGAAGGGTTGAGGGGGGGG